TTTTTTTTTTCATCATGGAGCCTAACTGGAACATACTAGGTTAGTTAACATTCCAGTGTAGAATTCAGCCAAATCCAGTCTGTCAATTCTGTTAAAAGGCTGTCCGTGGAGGATATTGGAGAATTGGAATGTATAGGAATGTAAAGGAGAAGACCACAACACCCTGTGGTTGAAATGGACAATAAATGAACTCCTCTTTCATTCTTCTCCTCCATGTGTGGCTGGTTCTGACATGACAAATAATGTTATTACATCAGTCATTGACAGGATGATTTTAATCTTAACCTCTCCCCATCTCTCCCTCTCTCTCTATCCCTCCATAGCGGTGGTGTATGGTGGCTGGGTCTGACATGATGCCCGGCCAGATCCCTGACCCCTCCCTGACGGCCGGCTCCTTGCCCAGCCTGGGCCTGCTGGCCGGCATATCTGCCACCACGCTCACCGACCAGCTCAAACTGGCACAGGACTTCAGGAACCTGGGCGCCATGTTGTCACCGCTGCATTTCCTGGGACGGCTGGGCAAGAGGCCGCTCTCTGCTATCAAGGGAGAGGTGAGGAGGAGGAGGTTGTGGAGGAAGAGAAGAATGGTGGATGTTGATATTTTTGAGGGATGCCATGTTCTGTTTTTTATGATCGACTGAGGTTTAGATGTCAGCCTGTCTAACTTTTAGCTCCACCAAGTGGGCAATTTCAGAAGCAGTTTAGATGTTACACAACTTAAAGGTCCAGTGCAGCCATTTTGATCTCGATATCAAATCATTTCTGGGGAACAATTAAGTACCTTACTGTGTTTTAAATAAAAAAAATAAAAAAAATAAAAAAATTGCTTCTTAGCAAAGAGACATTTCTCAAGCAAGAATTGGCTAGGACTGTCTGGGAGTGGTCTGAGTGGGGAGGGGACAACTGAAAACTAGCTGTTATTGGCTGAGAGGTTTGGAACTCTCTTTCTTATTGGTCTGTTAACTAATTCACGGCCTGGTAAAAACTCCATCCCACCAAAACAGGCTGAAATTTCAGGTGGTCTTTTCAAACAGCTCTTACACTAAAAGGGCATTTTACACAATTTCACAGTATTATTCCAACCTCATAGTGTGGAAATATATATAAAACACAGGAAAATCGTGTTTTTGACTGCACTGGGCCTTTAATAATTTCAATCTAGGGTTCTCTTAATCTATTCACTTTTGCCTCCAAGATGGCAAGCACAGGTATCAAACTGAGACATAGTTACTTGAAATTCACAATAAAACAAAAATAGGAGTGAAACACCATTGCCCCAGGAGTATAAAATGCAGGAAAGATAGAACCCAAGGTTGGAATAACTATATTTAATAATATGTAGGCCTTGAAAAAGTTCACCATTAGCTGATCACAGCACTTCTTCTCCCTGCAGATGGACGAGGACGATGACAGGAGGAAACGGAGGAGGGATAAAAACAAAGTGGCAGCAGCACGATGTCGGAACAAGAAGAAGGAGAGAACAGACTTCCTCCAAAGGGTCAGTCTCCTTTCTTTTTCAAAATGGCGGCAGAGTTCTTTATGTACACTACCGGTAAAACGTTTTAGAACACCTACTCTTTCAAGGGTTTGCTTTATTTTTTAAACTATTTTCTACATTGTAAAATAATAGTGAATACATCAAAACTATGAAATAACACATATTGAATCATGTAGTAACCAAAAAAGTGTTAAACAAATCAAATTATATTTTACATTTGAGATTCTTCAAATAGCCACCCTTTGCCTTGATGACAGCTTTGCACACACTTGGCATTCTCTCAACCAGCTTCATGAGGTAGTCACTTGGAATGCATTTCAATTAACAGGTGTGCCTTCTTAAAAGTTTATTTGTGGAATTTCTTTCCTTCTTAATGCGTTTGAGCCAATCAGTTGTGTTGTGACAAGGTAGGGGGGTATACAGACGATAGCCCTATTTGGTAAAAGACCAAGTCCATATTATGGCAAGAACAGCTCAAATAAGCAAAGAGAAACGACAGTCCATCATTACTTTAAGACATGAAGGTCAGTCAATACAGAACATTTCAAGAACTTTGAAAGTTTCTTCAAGTGCAGTCGCAAAAACCATGAAGTGCTATGATGAAACTGGCTCTCATGAGGACCGCCACAGGAAAGGAAGACCCAGAGTTACCTCTGCTGCAGAGGATAAGTTCATTAGAGTTACCAGCCTCAGAAATTGCAGCCCAAATAAATGCTTCACAGAGTTCAAGTCACAGACACATCTCAACATCAACTGTTCAGTGGAGACTGTGTGAATCAGGCCTTCATTGTCGAATTGCTGCAAAGAAACCACTACTAAAGGACACCAATAATAAGAAGAGACCTGCTTGGGCCAAGAAACACGAGAAATGGACATTAGACTGGTGGAAATGTGTCCTTTGGTCTGGAGTCCAAATTGGAGATTTTTGGTTCCAACCGCCGTTTCTTTGTGAGACGCGGTGTGGGTGAACGGATGATCTCCGCATGTGTATTTCCCACCGTAAAACATGGAGGAGGAGGTGTTATGGTGTGGGGGTGCTTTGCTGGTGACACTGTCTGTGATTTATTTAGAATTCAAGGCACACTTAACCAGCATGGCTACCACAGCATTCTGCAGCGATACGCCATCCCTTCTGGTTTGGGCTTAGTTGGACTCTCATTTGTTTTTCAACAGGACAATGACCCAAACACACCTCCAGGCTGTGTAAGGGCTATTTTACCAAGACGGAGAGTGATGGAGTGCTGCATCAGATGACCTGGCCTCCACAATCCCCCGTCCTCAACCAAATTGAGATGGTTTGGGATGAGTTGGACCGCAGAGTGAAGGAAAAGAAGCCAACAAGTGCTCATCATATGTGGGAACTCCTTCAAGACGGTTGGAAAAGCATTTCCTGGTGAAACTGGTTGAGAGAATGCCAAGAGTGTGCAAAGCTGTCATCAAGGCAAAGGGTGACTATTTGAAGAATCTCAAATATAAAATGTATTTTGATTTGTTTAACACTTTTTTTTGGTTACTACATGATTCCATATGTGTTATTTCATAGTTCTGATGTCTTCACTATTATTCTACAATGTAGAACATAGTAACAAAAGAAAGGAAAAACGTTGAATGAGTCGGTGTTCTAAAACTTTTGACCGGTAGTGTAGACTCTGGTGTTCTTTATATACTCAATAAAAAATATAAACACAACATGCAACAACTTCAACGATTTTGAGTTACAGTTCATATAAGGAAATCAGTCAATCGAAATAAATTCATTAGGCCCTAATCTATGGATTTCACATGACTGGGCAGGGGCTCAGCCATGCGTGGGCATGGGAGGGCATAGGCCCACCCACTGGGGAGCCAGGCCCAGCCAATCAGAATTAGTTTTCCCCCACAAAAGGGCTTTATTACAGACATAAATACTCCGCAGTTTCATCAGCTCTCCGGGTGGCTGGTCTCAGATGATCCCGCAGGTGAAGAAGCCGGATGTGGAGGTCCTGGGCTGGCGTGGTTACACGTGGTCTGAGGTTGTGAGGCCGGTTAGACATACTGCCAAATGTTCTAAAACGAGAAATGGTAGAGAATTGAACATTACATTCTCTGGCAACAGCTCTGGTGGACATTCCAGCAGTCAGCATGCCAATTGCACACTCCCTCAAAACTTGAGACATCTGTGGTATTGTGTTGAGTGACAAAACTGCACATTTTAGAGTGGCCTTTTATTGACCCCAGCACAAGGTGCACCTGTGTAATGATCATGCTGTTTAATCAGCTTCTTGATATGCCACACCTGTCAGGTGGATGGATGATCTTGGCAAAGGAGAAATGCTCACTAACAGGGATGGAAACAAATTTGTGCCCACAATTTGAGAGAAATAAGGTTTTTATGATATCTTGATATTTTATTTCAGTTTAGGAAACATGGGACCAACACTTTACATGTTGCGTTTATATTTTTGTTAAGTATATACACTCTGGTGTTCTTTATATATACTCTGGTGTTCAGTATATATATATTATGGTGTTCAGTATATATACTCTGGTGTTCAGTATATATACTCTGGTGTTCTTTATATATACTATGGTGTTCTTTATATATACTCTGGTGTTCAGTATATATACTATGGTGTTCTTTATATATACTCTGGTGTTCTTTATATATACTCTGGTGTTCAGTATATATACTCTGGTGTTCTTTATATATAATCTGATGTTCTTTATATATACTCTGGTGTTCTTTATATATACTCGGGTGTTCTTTATATATACTCTGATGTTCTTTATATATACTCTGGTGTTCTTTATATATACTCTGGTGTTCTTTATATATACTCTGATGTTCTTTATATATACTCTGGTGTTCAGTATATATACTCTGGTGTTCTTTATATATACTATGGTGTTCTTTATATATACTCTGATGTTCTTTATATATACTCTGGTGTTCAGTATATATACTCTGGTGTTCAGTATATATACTCTGGTGCTCAGTATATATACTCTGGTGTTCTTTATATATACTCTGGCGTTCTTTATATATACTCTGGTGTTCTTTATATATACTCTGGTGTTCAGTATATATACTCTGGTGTTCTTTATATATACACTCTGGTGTTCTTTATATATACTCTGGCGTTCTTTATATATACTCTGGTGTTCTTTATATATACTCTGGTGTTCAGTATATATACTCTGGTGTTCTTTATATATACACTCTGGTGTTTTTTATATATACTCTGATGTTCTTTATATATACTCTGGTGTTCTTTATATATACTCTGGTGTTCTTTATATATACTCTGGTGTTCAGTATATATACTCTGGTGTTCTTTATATATACACTGGTGTTCTTTATATATACTCTGGTGTTCTTTATATATACTCTGGTGTTCTTTATATATACTCTGGTGTTTTTTATATATACTCTGGTGTTCTTTATATATACTCTGGTGTTCTATATATATACTCTGATGTTCTTTATATATACTCTGGTGTTCTTTATATATACTCTGGTGTTCTATATATATACTCTGATGTTCTTTATATATACTCTGGTGTTCTTTATATAACTCTGATGTTCTTTATATATACTCTGGTGTTCAGTATATATACTCTGGTGTTCTTTATATATACACTCTGGTGTTTTTTATATATACTCTGGTGTTCTTTATATATACTCTGATGTTCTTTATATATACTCTGGTGTTCTTTATATATACTCTGATGTTCTTTATATATACTTTGGTGTTCAGTATATATACTCTGGTGTTCTTTATATATACTCTGGTGTTCTTTATATATACTCTGGTGTTTTTTATATATACTCTGGTGTTCTTTATATATACTCTGATGTTCTTTATATATACTCTGGTGTTCTTTATATATACTCTGGTGTTCTTTATATATACTCTGATGTTCAGTATATATACTCTGGTGTTCTTTATATATACACTGGTGTTCAGTATATATACTCTGGTGTTCTTTATATATACTCTGGTGTTTTTTATATATACTCTGGTGTTCTTTATATATACTCTGGTGTTCTATATATATACTCTGATGTTCTTTATATATACTCTGGTGTTCTTTATATATACTCTGGTGTTCTATATATATACTCTGGTGTTCTTTATATAACTCTGATGTTCTTTATATATACTCTGGTGTTCAGTATATATACTCTGGTGTTCTTTATATATACTCTGATGTTCTTTATATATACTCTGGTGTTCTTTATATATACTCTGATGTTCTTTATATATACTCTGGTGTTCAGTATATATACTCTGGTGTTCTTTATATATACTCTGATGTTCTTTATATATACTCTGGTGTTCTTTATATATACTCTGGTGTTCTTTATATATACTCTGATGTTCTTTATATATACTCTGGTGTTCTTTATATATACTCTGATGTTCTTTATATATACTCTGGTGTTCAGTATATATACTCTGGTGTTCTTTATATATACTCTGATGTTCTTTATATATACTCTGATGTTCTTTATATATACTCTGGTGTTCAGTATATATACTCTGGTGTTCTTTATATATACTCTGATGTTCTTTATATATACTCTGGTGTTCAGTATATATACTCTGATGTTCTTTATATATACTCTGATGTTCTTTATATATACTCTGGTGTTCAGTATATATACTCTGGTGTTTTTTATATATACTCTGATGTTCTTTATATATACTCTGGTGTTCTTTATATATACTCTGATGTTCTTTATATATACTCTGGTGTTCAGTATATATACTCTGGTGTTCTTTATATATACTCTGATGTTCTTTATATATACTCTGATGTTCTTTATATATACTCTGGTGTTCTTTATATATACTCTGGTGTTCTTTATATATACTCTGATGTTCAGTATATATACTCTGGTGTTCTTTATATATACACTGGTGTTCAGTATATATACTCTGGTGTTCTTTATATATACTCTGGTGTTTTTTATATATACTCTGGTGTTCTTTATATATACTATGGTGTTCTTTATATATACTCTGGTGTTCTTTATATATACTCTGATGTTCTTTATATATACTCTGGTGTTCTTTATATATACTCTGGTGTTCAGTATATATACTCTGGTGTTCTTTATATATACTCTGGTGTTCTTTATATATACTCTGGTGTTCTTTATATATACTCTGGTGTTCTTTATATATACTATGGTGTTCTTTATATATACTCTGGTGTTTTTTATATATACTCTGGTGTTCTTTATATATACTCTGATGTTCTTTATATATACTCTGGTGTTCTTTATATATACTATGGTGTTCTTTATATATACTCTGGTGTTCTTTATATATACTCTGGTGTTCTTTATATATACTCTGGTGTTCTTTATATATACTCTGATGTTCTTTATATATACTCTGGTGTTCAGTATATATACTCTGGTGTTCTATATATATACACTCTGGTGTAGAAGATAAAATAGATTATATGATTACTTATAAATGATTTGTGAAGAATCTATGTAGTGTTTATAAAGACGTTATGAATGCTCTGTCAAGTATTTATGTTATAGTCAGGGTTGGGTAGGTTCCTTTCTAAATGTAATCCATTACAGTTACTAGTTACCTGTCCAAAATTGTAATCAGTAACACAACTTTCGGATTGACCAACATAATCCGATTCCTTTCAGTTACTTTTAAATTACTTTTCCCTCAAGAAGCATTAGAAGAAGACGAAAATGAATATTACCAATTTACATTTATTATTGCAGGATAAATCAATGTTAGCGTGTACATAGCTGGCCATAAATGGATGTTGCATTTTACTTTATGGGTTATGTAGGCTTCTTCTAACCCATTGCTTTCTACTACAGATAATAGTATGATTAGGCTATATCTTTACATTAAAAACCAAAGTCTGTCAGATTTCCAGTCATTCCAATTAATGTAATACTCCTTGATCTTCAAGAATAGGACTTGGAAAAATAGATGAGCCAAATTGTTTGACCTGAGCATAACCCCAAAAACTAAGGACTAATTAGCCTACTCTGTTGTTTATGATTTTGTTGTCATGGAGGACTGATTGGGCTCATTTCTTCCAGTTGAAAAATAAAATGCTGCTCTCATTGAATGTTATGCTTTGAGCACTACCGAAAAGTGCTATTTGCATGCTGCATTTACTATAGGCCTATTGTTTACATTTTAGTTGGTGACACTTTAATATCTTGATAATTTGCAGCTGTTTAAGTCTATCAGAAGCAGCAGTGTGATTCACATCAATGTAGATATCAATAATAATAATATCTAAATGAGAGAGTAGCGGTGTGATTCACATCAATGTAGATATCAATAATAATATCTAAATGAGAGAGTAGCAGTGTGATTCACATCAATGTAGATATCAATAATAATATCTAAATGAGAGAGTAGCAGTGTGATTCACATCAATGTAGATATCAATAATAATATCTAAATGAGAGAGTAGCAGTGTGATTCACATCAATGTAGATATCAATAATAATATCTAAATGAGAGAGCAGCGGTGTGATTCACATCAATGTAGATATCAATAATAATATCTAAATGAGAGAGCAGCAGTGTGATTCACATCAATGTAGATATCAATAATAATATCTAAATGAGAGAGAAGCGGTGTGATTCACATCAATGTAGATATCAATAATAATAATATCTAAATGAGAGAGCAGCAGTGTGATTCACATCAATACGCTACGTAGATGATCAACAATAAGTGATATCCGTATCTGATTGGTGGTCACCATTTGGTGTGTCATCATAGTGGTCTCTGATTGGTGGTCATCATTTGGTGTGTCATCATAGTGGTTTCTGATTGGTGGTCACCATTTGGTGTGTCATCATAGTGGTCTCTGATTGGTGGTCATCATTTGGTGTGTCATCATAGTGGTCTCTGATTGGTGGTCATCATTTGGTGTGTCATCATAGTGGTTTCTGATTGGTGGTCATCATTTGGTGTGTCATCATAGTGGTCTCTGATTGGTGGTCATCATTTGGTGTGTCATCATAGTGGTCTCTGATTGGTGGTCACCATTTGGTGTGTCATCATAGTGGTCTCTGATTGGTGGTCATCATTTGGTGTGTCATCATAGTGGTTTCTGATTGGTGGTCACCATTTGGTGTGTCATCATAGTGGTCTCTGATTGGTGGTCATCATTTGGTGTGTCATCATAGTGGTCTCTGATTGGTGGTCATCATTTGGTGTGTCATCATAGTGGTTTCTGATTGGTGGTCATCATTTGGTGTGTCATCATAGTGGTCTCTGATTGGTGGTCATCATTTGGTGTGTCATCATAGTGGTTTCTGATTGGTGGTCATCATTTGGTGTGTCATCATAGTGGTCTCTGATTGGTGGTCATCATTTGGAGTGTCATAGTGGTCTCTGATTGGTGGTCACCATTTGGTGTGTCATCATAGTGGTCTCTGATTGGTGGTCATCATTTGGTGTGTCATCATAGTGGTCTCTGATTGGTGGTCATCATTTGGTGTGTCATCATAGTGGTCTCTGATTGGTGGTCATCATTTGGTGTGTCATTATAGTGGTCTCTGATTGGTGGTCATCATTTGGTGTGTCATCATAGTGGTCTCTGATTGGTGGTCATCATTTGGTGTGTCATTATAGTGGTCTCCGACTTGTGGTCAGACTTTTTTTCAACTTGCTCCTTTTTTCAACACTGATTTGAATGTCATTGAGAAAACAGAAAGGTGTCAAATATTTTTTCCCGCAAACATCCTTTCTGAATTTAAAAGTAATCGTAGAAGTAATCATCTAGTTTTTCAAAAGTATCTGTAATCAGATTTTTTTTTATGCTGGTAAAGTAAAAGATTTTACATCTGTTACATGGAATCCATTACACCCCAGTCCTGCTTCTAGTTTGTTTAAAGTGGGTCGTAATTGTAAAAGAGAAAGTTCTCGATGACTTCCTGGTTAAATAAAGGCTAACTCGATGACCTAACAGTATATCCCCTCCCCTCTCTGTCCTCCCTGTAGGAGTCGGAGCGTCTGGAGGTGGTGAACTCTGACCTGAAGGCCCAGATCGAGGAGCTGAGGATGGAGAGACAGCAGCTGATGGTGATGCTCAACCTCCACCGCCCCACCTGCATCGTCCGCACCGACAGCGTCAACACCCCCGAGAGCGAGGCCAACCCCCTGCTCCAACACCTGGCCGCCGAAAAGCTGGAGGCCTCCAAGTGAAACCACAGAGGTAAAGTGAAACCGAAGGGCGGGAAGGAAGGAATCAGCCGGAAAAAACAACTGTCATCATGATCACGAAAGATTTTTTTTAAAATCACCTGATGCTTTTGTTGTTGAAGCACTTATGTACTGTCTTGAGCTCCATGCTAGAGACTTTTGGAGACTCTTGTCTGTCTTTGCCCAAAGACCCGGGGTTGTTAGGGTTCCGTTGCCTTGGTAACACCTTGGTAACATTACCTGAGCGGGTTCTGAGGGAAGAGGGAGGAGCCTAATGCCCAACCCAGTTATCTCAGCATCAATAATAAGTGTTGTTTGTTTTTGAAACCCAGTCAGTGCCTCACAGTTTACTTACTGCGACCAACCATCATTACAATAAAGGGACAGATGGAAGACGTTAGTGGAAACTTTTAACGTTGAAGAGGAAACACTAAGGTTAATCACTATGGTGCTCTGTTACCGCCATTTACTGGCACTGAGACAAAACAAAGGGGTTGTTGTTGTTGTTGTGATATTCTAAACATGTATAACGGTAGAGGCCCACAGGTGTAGCCAGCCAGAGTACTGTGTACCATGTTGAAATATACAGGTGAAGTAGTATTCTAGGATCTGTCCATTACATGCATTCAATGTATATACCAAGTCGTTTTTGTTTTTTTGTATTTTATATTATAATGCTAATTGTTTTTATATTCTCTGCCTTGACGATGGAAGTATCCGGTTGATCCGACTTGAGGTGACGCTGGCGTCATAAATAAAAGCACATAAAAACTATATGAAATAATGTTTACACTCCTGTTGTTATAAAAAGGCAATGTTAATTCAAATGTCTGTCTTTCAATGTACTTATTTTATACCCCTTTATATATATATATACATATATATTGTGTATGAAATGCCCTGTATTGTTGTAATCACTTGATGTGATTTTGCATTTTACATCAGTGTCTGTCCAGTTGTATTTTTCAATATTAAAGGCCCTGTGCAGTCAAAAAAGTGATTTTCCTGTGTTTAATATATATTTCCACACTATGAGGCTGGAATAATACTGTTCCAAACCAGTCCTAGCGAAATTCTTGCTTGAGAAATTGCTCTTTGCTAAGAAGCTATTTTTGTTTATTTTTGACCGCAGTAAGGTCCTTAATTGTTACCCAGAAATGTCCACACGCCCCCTACTTACTTTCCACACGGCCACTACTTTCCTTTCAACACACCCACTCACCCATACTCTGGTCGCCATATTGATATGCAGCTACCCCCTTCTCGAAAAAGCTCTACCAGAGATTTGGATATAATGACGAGATACTCTAGATGACCAAAAGTATGTGGACACCTGTTCGTCGAACATCTCATTCCAAAATCATGGGGCATTAATATGGAGTTGGTCCCCCCCCTTTGCTGCTATAACAGCCTCCACTCTTCTGGGAAGGCTTTCCACTAGATGATGGAACATTGCTGGGGGGACTTGCTTCCATTCAGCCACAAGAGCATTAGTGAGGTCGGGCACTGATGTTGGGCGATTAAGCCTGGCTTGCAGTCGGCGTTCCAATTCATCCCAAAGGTGTTCAATGGGGTTGAGGTCAAGGTTCTGTGCAGGCTAGTCAAGTTCTTCCACACCAATCTCGACAAACCATTTCTGTATGGACCTTGCTTTGTTCACAGGGGCATTGTCATGCTGAAACAGGAAAGGGCCTTCCCCAAACTGTTACCACAGAATGTCATTTTATGCTGTAGCATTAAGATTTCCCTTCACTTGAACTAAGAGGCCTAGCCCGAACCATGAAAAACAGCCCCAGATTGTTATTCATCCTCCACCAAACTTTATAGTTGTCAGCATGCATTGGGGCAGGTAGCGTTCACCTGGCATCCCGCAAACCCAGATTCGTCCCTCGGACTGCCAGATGGTGAAGCGTGATTCATCACTCCAGAGAACGCGTTTCCACTGCTCCAGAGTCCAATGGAGGCAAGCTTTACACCACTCCAGCCGACGCTTGGCATTGCGCATGGTGATCTTAGGCTTGTGTGCGGCTGCTCGGCCATGGAAACCCATTTCATGAAGCTCCCGACTAACAGTTATTGTGCTGACGTTGCTTCCAGAGGCAATTTGGAACTCGGTAGTGAGTGTTGCGACCAAGGACAGACGATTTTTACGCGCTACGCGCTTCAGCACTCGGCGGTCCCGTTCTGTGAGATTGTGTGGCCTACCACTTCACGGCTGAGCCGTTGTTGCTCCTAGACGTTTCCACTTCACAATAACAGCATTTACAGTTGACCGGGGCAGCTCTAGCAGGGCAGAAATTTGACGAACTGACTTGTTGGAAAGGTGGCATCCTATGACGGTGCCACGCTGAAAGTCACTGAGCTCTTCAGTAAGGCCATTCTACTGCCAATGTTTGTCTATGGAGATTGCATGGCTGTGTGCTCGATTTTATACACCTGACAACAACGGGTGTGGCTGAAATAGCCGAATCCACTAATTTGAAGGGGTGTCCACATACTGCTGTATATATAGTGTCCTATATCTCCACCCTAACAATGGGATTCGTAGTCCACTGAGCAGACCCGCCGATTCCTCTCTTTGGATACAACTCGTTATTTTAATACTGTTTTGAATATTCGATGAGGGGTGTTGACGTCAACCACCTGTATTCAATAGAGAGAGAGATGCTATGCTACAAGCCTCATGTCATGAATATGCATAGCCATCTCGCGACAACTCCCATGTAGTTTTTTTCCCTCCAAAGTTACCGGGATGTCACGTGACCTACTTATATCGGTGCACTTGTAACAACATAAGCATAGACATAGGCCTAGACGTATTTTTGTAGGCACTAACTCCACCCTGGTTCGTTGGACAAAGCCTATGGCGAAAATGAATGGCGTTTTTGTAAGGTTTTTATACGTTTTGTTCTATGAGATCATATTCACCAGCTAACGTCGCTTTTGGTGAATTTTGAAGAATTTATGTAATTAGAAAAGCATGTAAAGGCTTCATAATTCATAAAGGTCATGTTAACTGACTGCTATTATCTCATAGAACAAACCGTATTAGATCTAAGCCTGTGTTAACCTCAGACATTATTTTCGGCGTTTATTCCAAAATCCTATTCTTTCGCTATTCATTTTTCCGAAGGGATGGCTGAACGATCCAGAGGTAGCTCATTTCCGGGTTTTAGGACTACAAGGCGGCGAGCTCTATTACGAAATTTCTGCCGTGTTCAAAACAACTCGGAACTAGTAAATCTCCGACCTCCGATTACAGTGCGTTCATGACAACTGGGAACTCGGAAAAACACGACCTCCGACTGGGAAAAATAGTTTCGAATAGTCATCCAACTCGGAATTCCAAATCGGGAACTCGGCCCCTTTCTAGAGCTCCTACTTTCCGACCTGAAAATCACTGACGTAATGATTTGAGCTCGTATTTTTCCGAGTTAACAGTTGTCCTGAACGCACCATTCTATTCGCTCTAATAAACCTCACGTAGCAAATAAGCCATTCAATTTTTTGTTGACCAAATTCGACACTCATTGACCTCCATACAAAACTCCTTGCTTGGTGAGCGAAAGAAACAAAACATCGCCACCTGCTGGAGAAGGCCCAGTTATCCCTCGCTTCGCCGCCGCTTCTTCTTCTTCTTCTTCTTCTTCTTCTTCTTCTTCTTCTTCTTCTTCTTCTTCCAGGTTTTATTGGCAGACTACATCCAAAAAATGGAGATACCTAATTTCCAGTTTCTTATTTTTTGTTGTTGTTGTTGTTGTTAGTCCTGTACAATTAATCACCTGCGCAATAAACACAACAAAATCAACCTTCTTCACGATGAGTGTTTCAGGACCTCTCAACTGACTGAAATCCACATCCTGTTGGGCATCCACTGCCATGGCCTCATCTGCCTCTGTATAGGAGACCTTCTCGAAAGCCCTGATCCTTCCTACTTTGCCCTCCTTCACACTAACAGGACACTCAGAGAAGTCGTGATTCCCATCACAATTGCAACACTGTGCATCCTCAGACTCTTCAACAGTGATATTTAGTTTGCAAACACTTGACACGTGACCAAACTTTTTACGTTTATGACATTGAAGTGGCTTTTGTACATACAATGTCATAAGCGACCGTGAATCAACTATTCCTGGCATATTCATCTTAAACCATGAAACCTCAATCTCCATCGAGACGCCAGATATGACACCTTTTAATCGGTGCCCTACTCCGATAATCATAGCATTCCACCTCATGTGTCGATAATTTGTACATCCACAGTGCTTTCTCCATTTGTTCTTTTGACACACATGAAATCAACATCATACCACTCCTGGTCACTCTGACTGACTCCACTGTTAACCAATCAGGTGAGGAGCAGATGCTTTGTTGAAAATCTTCCTTCATGAAACATAGTTCTGCCTGTCATTTGTTTTGGGCAAGCAAAACCAAAAAAAATCATCGCTGTGTCTGGTTTTCCAATTCTATATGATGTCTTGCTAGAATACAGAGACCAAACCAGAAGGTCAATAGCATGTAGGACGATTGCAGAGATTGTTGGTGTTGATGGTGGGTGAAGAGATATTTGCACAACAATGTTTGCTTGTGCTGCTAGCTAGCTACGAACCTCAATTAATCTAAATCCAAACTTCAAAACTATGATCCCATGTAATATGCTACCAATTGGATTATGGTATTTTAACGTTATGATTGTCATATATCATAGTTTATAGCTCTTTCATTATACCAGTGTCATGACATTGAAGATTATAGCTCACTTCCTGTAAAATACATAGGCCTACATATACAATGCAAATGAATGGGTACTTTGGGTAAAGGAAATTGTGGCTTTGACTTGCAAACATTGTTGTGCAAATCTCTCTTCACCCACCATCAGCACCAACAATCTCTTCAGTCCTCTTCCGCGCCATTGACCTTCTGATTTCATCTCTGTATTCTACAATCATTCTCAGCAAATAAACAAGGTAGAATTTCAACGCTCCCCACAGCACATTATTTTCCTTTTTAAAATGTTTTATTAGCCTACAAAGGGTCAGCTCCTTATTTCCATGTACAGTACTGTACCTAGAATACAAGGGTTGGATTTGCACTAATCCATTTCAAGTCAGGAAAATCATGTAGAAAATCTGTCTTATGGTTAGTCTCATATACATTATGTACTGGTATCATTGTTGGCTGGGCTCCCCGCTTGTGCCATCAAACCCCAGCAACTTATCCAGAACGCTGCAGCCCGCCTGGTGTTCAACCTTCCCAAGTTCTCTCACGTCACCCCGCTCCTCCGCACACTCCACTGGCTTCCAGACGAAGCTCGCATCCACTACAAGACCATGGTGCTTACCTACAGAGCAGCAAGAGGAACTGCCCCTCCCTACCTTCAGGCTATGCTCAAACCCTACACCCCAACCCGAGCACTCTGTTCTGCCACCTCTGGTCTCTTGGCCCTCCTACCCCTATGGGAAGGGCAGCTCCCACTCAGTAATCATGACGTCAGTAATCATGACGTCAGTAATCATGACGTCAGTAATCGTCAGGTCGGAAAGTTGGAGCTCTAGAAAGTTTCCGAGTTGGATGAACATTCAAAACGATTTTTCCCAGTCTGAGCTTGTTTTTTCCAGAGTTCCCAGTTGTCTTGAATGCACTGAAGTTGGAAGTCGGAGATTTCCGAGTTCCCAGTTGCTTTGAATGCGGCAATACAATACATACCATACTGGGTCACCCATAACAACTGGACAGGCTTTCAGCATTGAAGTGCTACAGCTAGAAAAATGTGAACACCGGCTGCAATTCCACATGCCACCACAACAGGTCGCTGTAGAATAGTATAAACCGTGTGACGCGTTGCATGACGTCACGAATTTAACTTCAAATGCCCTAAAAATCCTCTCATCTCTCGCCGGGTGCAGTGGCGTGCGCCTGTAATCCAAGTTGCTGGGAGGCTTAGGCTGGCGGATCGTTTGAGCTCAGGAGTTCTGAGCTCCAGTGGACTAT